TTAATTGATTCTAAAAGAATATACAGTAGGACCTTTGTAACTGTGAGCTCTGCACCCAGATTCAATCAACTACAGACCAAGTATTAAAGGGAAAAAAATCAACAAAACAATAAAAACAGAGGAGGCTTCAAGATGGCTGACAAGAGGCATCTGGCTCTTGCCTCCTTGACAAAAAAGAGCCAAAAGAGCAAGTAGAAAATGTTGGACCCCAAAGTCCTAAATCCAAGAGACCACCAAAGAGCCAGCTCTGATGCAAATCACACGAGGGTCTTTATTCAGGCTCGAGTCTGGGCTTACGTCTGTAACCAGCGCAGCAGTACAGGAACGAGAGTCCCAACCTAGTACAGCAAGTGGTTTATATACACAGTTGCAAGGAAAGGGCTGGGCGTGACCAGTTTTTCCTAGGCTTGAGACATTGTTCAATTAGAAGAGGGCATGACGTAGAAAACGAAGTCCACGGACCTTGCATAATTAGTTTCCAATTAGGTCCGCGGTGATGTTAGGGGACAGGAGTGCTTGAGATTGGTGGATTCGCTTTTGATTTGCGCAGGCGCTGGCTCGGCTGCCTGTGATTGACTAATAACGGACAAGCAGGTGGAGGGGAGGTAGTTAAGCCTCCTGGAATTTCAGATAAGCTACGGTTTACGGTCAGCTTTGACATACAAGCAGGTTTGAAACAACACAGAGCCCACCAGAAGAGTGGCTGGTGCCACAGAGCCCACCATAATTCAAGCAAGGGAATGTCCGGGAGGGGCTTATTGCTTAACATTCACACACTGCCAGCAGTGGTTGCAGAAGCAGAAGAAGCCAGTTATTTCATTTAACATGGTTATTATGGGACAAACAAAAACTTAACAAAGTTCTAAGTACAAACACTGCAAATATTTTGTAACTTTACGGTCACAGTTAGGTGCCTTACATATGCCTAGTCTTACGGGGTTTGAGGTAGGGATTTATAAAAAACAGAAAACATTTATTTCATAGCAAGTATAGTTCTTTTGAGTCCTTTGAGTCTCTCAGAAAATACACTCTGAATAGACCATCTTAGAGAGAATACTGAAGTTGAACAGAGAAGAGGCAGTAAACACCTGAGGCAGGAAAGAGAGGGAAGCCAGACAGGGGTCCATTGAGAGCCCAAAGAGGCTCCTCACTGGAGGAAAAAGGTGAGAGGTCCCTAGCAGGCCATATTTGCACTGTAAACTCCTGCAGCCCTAGCCATGGGAAAGTCCCTCAAGCCTGTCTAGCAGAGGGATCTGCCAGGACACGGTGGGACAGCATTGCTCCAGAGAAGGAGCGCATATTGAATCCCACACAACCCCCTGAAACCCAAGCTGCTTCGGGACCCACCAGACTGCATCCTGCCCAACAGCCCTTGCATCCCCATCCCCCTGAAGCCCCGCTGACATCCTCCTGCATCCACTCAGACAACTGCAGCTGCATAGTACCTATCGAACCCAGTGGAAGGGCCCCCAGCACTCCAGCAGTGTCCTGCATGCTGGGGATCTGGCAGAGCAGCTCACCAAGACAAAAGGAGCCAAAGTGTGCATTCCCCCAGTCTGCCTGGAGTCACTGCCACTGACAAAATCTCCATCCAATCAGTATCAAGGTGCAGCACAATAGCAGGTACCCTGAGGACAGGCTTTTCCACTGCTGCAGGCAAATATCACCACTGATAGCAACCTTACCCTGCCCAGCATCACACCTGCCCTGTACTTGCACACACTGGATAAAAAGGTATGAAAAATATCTTCTTAAAAGCCAGAATCTATAAAGGCAAACATGAAGGGGGAAAAAAAAGAAAAATTCATTAGGAAATTGAGAAAGGAAAATTATATACTTGGCCTAAGTATCAAGCAAACTAAAATGTGACATCAGTTTAGGCTATTACTGGAAAACAAGGGAAAAAAGAAAGAGGTAAAAAAAATTACTCACATATACACAATGGAATATTATGCAGCCACGAAGAATAAAATCATGTCCTTCACAGTAACTTGGATGCAGTTGAAGAACCATCATACTAAATTAACTATCACAAAAACAAAGAACTGAATATTGCATATTTGACTTATAAGCAAGTCCTGAACACAGTCACACTAGCACAAGGGTGGGAATGGCAGACTCTAGGCACTGCTAGGGGAGGGAGCAAGGTGATGTGGGGTCCGAGCATTTGATTCACGGCACCAACACACAATTGACCAAGAGAGAGGTTTATTAGCCAGGTTTGACTGGCCAGGGCCACCCACCAGACTCACAAGTCTCTAGGTGAGGGGCCCACACTGCCTTTCTTAAATATGCAAAAGCCCATCTAATCCACAAGGCCATTATAATTCAAATTCAAACAATACAAACAGAGAAAAGCCCGCTAGAATTTGAAAGGGGCTTATCGCACAACACTCACACACTGCCAGCGGGGTTTACAGAAGCAGAAAAAGCTAGTTAACTTATCTAACACAGCCACTTGGCACTCCCAAGTAGGGTGTTCTTTCCAGGGTTTCCAAGAATTACTAAGTTTTAGGGAAGACATCACAGTACACAGTTTCAGCATACTTAATATATGAGGTTATAGTTTCATCACATTTCACATAATTCATCACACTTAATATAAAAGGTTTCACACAGGTTCCACACAATTCATCACCTCTTACAAAGGGGGAAGGGGAACACATGACAACACAATGGGTACCTGGTCCACCACCAAGGTGTGAAAGGGCTAGCTAGAAGCCTAAACTTCACCTGCAAGGCAGCCTACGTATGTAACAAATCCTTACTTGTACCACACAACTCAACTCAACTCAACTCAAATAAAATACAATATGAAAAGAATGACTCATTTGACCTTGGCATTGAGAAATGTTCTCTTCCTAGTGCCCCGGAAAATATGATACTGGGCTTCATTGAGAAGGAAACATAAGCTTAGTACATGATTTGGCCTGATGATGAATAATGTTTAAATAATTACAATGATGTATATGCTACTCTAATGGGACAAGTACAGAAGATAGATTATGTTTGTAGGCAGGATATAATTACTAGCAAACTTGAAAATATAAATGTATAACTAACAGACAGTAGGATATCAGCCAGGACAGGGGAAGAAGGAAGATGGAATAAAAGAAGTGGTGCTAACAGAGGTTTATATATTGAATTATAAAGGTAACTATCAAATATTTAAAATTAGATAAATATCAAACATGAAGAGGAAAGAAAAATGGAAATGAGAGCAATATGTGTTAAATCCTAATTTTTCATCTAAAGAAATCAATTCACAAATTGACATATTTAATCAATCAACTTGATAAATCAGGAACTGGAGGCATAAGCGTATCTTCTAAAATTTTAGAATTACCAATATTAAGTAAGGAAATATTGTTGAGAAACAATTTTAAAAAGAAGCAATCTACAAAATATAACTGGGGATAAGAAGTAAATGGGAAAACTTAGAATTCACCCTCAGGCATTCTCTATTACTTGATTTATTTCCATTTGGCTACATTACTTCAATAAAAATACTTTAAGGCTAAATATGTTAATCTGTTCTAGTTGCCCAAGTATCTTAAGCTACTCAACCTATATGAACCCTTCCTGTCTTCCACCATGTTCTCAACCCGTGCTCTCCTTGCCTTTTCTATGATTTTGCTTCCTTAGTTTACTACTGTTCTCAATAATATTTGATTTGCCTTCTCCTCTGCCCTTTCCTTCCGTCTTAAGCCATGACAGGTCTTCCCCATCCTTGAGCAAACAAAAGAAATTAACTTGATTGGAATGTTCTGTATAATTTCTTCCCACTTCTCTTCTTCCTTTCACTTTCCAACTTTAAAAAGTACTTTTTATTTCTTCTGAAATCTGACTTTTAATCACTCTCTTAGTCCATTTAGGCTGCTATAACAAAATACTGTAAACTAGTTAACTTATGAACAAAATATTATTAGGCTGAGAAGTTCAAGATCAAAGCACCATTAGATTGGGTTTCTGGTGAGGGCTGGCTCTCTTCCTCATAGATGGCACCTTCTTGCTGTGTGCTCACATAGTTGAAAGGGTGAACAAGCTCCCTTGAGCCTCTTTTAGAAGGGTACAAAACCCATTCAAGAGAGCTCCACCCTCATGATCTAATCACCCCCCAAAAAGCCACCTCTTAGAAGTTAATATTTCAACATATGAATTTGGGTGGAACAAAAACATTCAGATCATAGAAAACACCAAATGCAATGCATTTTCACAGTCAGTCCTCATTCAACTTAATATTTTATCCAAGAATGTCACATAAAGTCTTTCTTTTTATCCTTTTTTCCTGAGGTCAGAGTGTAGAAATGCCTCATAAGACCAGTGTTTCCAACATGTCGGGAAATACTAGTATGAAGTGTTCCAATTACAAATGCATCACTGCTTTGTTCAAGAATATTTAATCTTCCGTCTTTTGGCACTGAAGGAAAAATCCAAGTAAACAACTAAAAACAACCAACTAGTCAACATAAGTATTATAATATTTATTCATTATATTTCATGGCCTTGCCCTTCAAAATCATATTTATGTGCAAGACTAATAATAGACTACAACCTGATATAGGGAAACCCTCTAAAGACCTTGAGTAGAAAGCTCAAAATAATGACACACTGCCTCAATATAGTTATCCTGTATTAAATCTCATATTCCCCACAGAAAACAGGAAATATGTTACAAATGGAGAAAAAAATCAAGAATGAAAAATTGTGCAAGAAAACTAGTGAATGAACCAAGAAAAAAATTCTGAAATTCATCATCAGACAATATCCTGGTGTTCTTTAAAATATAATCAATTTTGAATATTAAACGTGTATTAATTTTGTACCCCCACTTCTTTACAATTAAAAAAAATGTACTAATTTGTTGCTTTGGTTATTTGTGTCTATTTGCAAGAAAGATAATCGGCAAGATAATCCAATCAGAAAGACCATTATGAAACTTTAATTCTGAACTTCAAAGTTACTGGTATTAGGAAAAGAACTAATTAATGGAGTCATAATTATAGAAAAACTAGCTGATTTTATTATTATCAATGTCAAAAAAGTCTTTAAATTGACTAAAATTTATTCAATAAAGCATAAAGTTACTTTCACATTTGTCTACAACCATAGTTCTTGGCATAAAGACACAGCCTTTGGAATTTAAAACATCCCCACCTGCAAGATTACATATATAAAACTCCCACTATTGCTTATGTAATAGTGGATTTGCTAGCCAAATTAAAATAATTATATTATCTAGAATAAAATAAAATAGAAATAATATACTCATAAGATTCATATTTAAATCATCTTTATTTACAAAATATAATCCTGAGAATTATATAATTCCATTAAGCTTCAATTTGAGCAATGGTATAATCTCTTAAGTAACAGCAGTTACTTAAATTGAAAATGAGAGATACGTCAAAATTACTTTTGAAGAGAGCAAAAATATCATCAGGCTTCTTGTTGTGGTTCTGGATGTTCAGTAGCAGGCTCATTTGAAGGCAGAATCAACCCTGAAGGGAACTCACGTCTACTTTCAGAATGCGGGGGTGGGGGGAAAAATCCAGGTCTTGGAGGAAGATAAGGAGGAAAACGCCTCGGTGGATACACATTTCTCACTGTTCAAAGAGATTGGTAAAAGACATTTTTTAACTTTAAGAACTTTTACTGAGACCCTAATAAATCACTAGTTATCTACCTATTCTTTTATTCAAAAATTGACATCAGAATAATTACTTGATCTAAAAAACTAATTTTACAACATTGAGAAAAATGTACTCTCTTCAACTTACATATGTTTAAAGGAAATATCAATAATTTTAGATGAATTTT